TCCACATAATGACCAGTTTAATGATTTATTCGTTGACGCTACGTAACTACATATTCTAAGTGAAGCCTCCAACTCTTAACTCGTCAGCTTCGTACACCGTCGCTTCCAACCTCCTTCCCCGCTGCTTCCTTCTACCTCACTCCCCCGTATCTTTCTCAAGGTATTGCTTATATCCTTATTCCTTATCTACATGTATGGTCCTTGACGCAAACTTTAACTACCTTTAATTGTATAATTAATTTCTTTACCTCGGCGTCATACACAGAGACCGCCGCATTACTCAAGAGCTATTGGACTACAAGACATTACGTCATACGACTTCGTATGATCTTTATGTCGGACCCGACACCGGGGCAAGTCAGCAGTCGACATTTGAAAGAGTAAAGACTACTCAATACTAAAACTGCCAAGGTGTGAACAGCTGTGGACGTCATCGTGCTCCACAACGTCAAAGGTGAAACCAAACGTTATCTCAATTCAAAACCAAATGAAAATGAAAGCATTCGAAGCCATCTTACTAATCTCAATCTGAATATAAAACAAACTCCGAGTTCCGAGTTGGGTTGTCAAACACAGCTTCGTGTACATCATGAGTTTTACCGTTCATGTCGGGGACTGGTGCTACGTGGGCTGAAATGTGGCACCCGGATTATCGATTGCAACAGCAGGTCTGCACATGTACACCCAATCTGGCGCTCTCCGTGACGAGGTTGAAAATTTCCATCTGATCAAATCGTACCAACGGAGCTATCGTGGCTGCGTGGTAACGCTGCTGACTTGCATACAGGCGGAATCTCGTTCGATGGTTCGTGTCACAGCAGCTATTGTGTCATTTTTTTTTTTTTTGCCAGAATTAATTTTTGAAAATTGCGATTGATTACTATAAGAGGAAACTCGCACGTACGGAGGGTGGTCTGTCACGGAGCAGTCGGTAGCGTGCATGGATACAAATGAGACATCAAAAGCGTCATCAACCATGGTAACTCAAAGTCACGGGTTCGAGTCCCGGATGAGGCACGTCAGTCCATCACTACAACGACCTTCCCCCTGAATCGGGATGTCACGAGACGGGAACGAATGAGGGATCTCGTGGGACTTAGCAAATTACCTTTTGCATAAAAATACGGTATACTTTAGAAAGTTTACATCTGCGTCGACAATTCTATTTCCTTTCTCTTCAGTTAAAAGGCCTTATATTGGTGCCACAGATCTTGAACTTAAATTGAGCTATAACGAACTCCGTATGGCTTGCATTTCATCAAAATGTGCTATCTTCTTGGTGGGATTATCAGAGAGAAAACTTTTCATTTTTTACTAAAGTTGCGTCACCTCTACTCCTTTTATCAGGCACGCATTTTGTTTGTTTGTTTGTTTGTTT